CTCTAAGTGACTGAGAATCTACAGGAGGATTTGATTTTGCTGTTGCTGTGAGATTAATCCTGGGGGATCCAACATCTGAATCATCACCTCCAAAAGCCTAAATGAACAAAAAAACAAACATAATAATGAGGAAATAACAATGTCAGACCTGGTTAAATGTCTAAATAATAAAGAACAAATCACATTTTTTAAAGAAATAAACGAATGTTAAAAACAAATTATTACATTTTAAATAATTGTTGTTTCTATTCTTTGATCTGTGAAACTATTCAGCTAATCATTCAGCTCATATAATCTCTAAAGTGAGCACTAAATCCCTAGTCTTCCTCTTATTTAGTTTCTCAACCAAACCTGATCTTAAGGTACTGTTCTGAAGGCACTGTTCACAGCATCCCAAAGGACCCAAACAGTCCTTTCCTTCTTTAAAAACATGGATTTTGCTTCAGCTCAATTAAAGCAACCATATTTTTGGTACAAAATTCAGAAGTTCACATTCCTTTTACTCAACACTGGATATGAGGCATAATAATGTATTGGCCACACATGCAGCAATATTCAATAGAGTGAGAATGTTAATATTATGAGAACAAAGGCAAAATACTCAAAATGCAGGTGCAAAATTATAATAGTCTTTTGGCATTCCTTAATCTCAGAGATAAAATTGAAGCTATTCAGGAAAACTCATCATTGGAGATGCTAAATATGTAGAGGCACTAACTGAAGTAACAAAAACACAGAAATGAACTTATACTAATTCCAAAATTTTCCTGCGCGCGTGAAGTACACTTGGGTAGACCGTACTGGTTTACATAGGTGTTTGAGTCAGCCCATAAAGCTCACGAACACACTGAGTCACGAATCAGAACTCAGCACCAACCAAAAGGCGCAATCCTTTTTTGTCTATTAGGGGTGTGATCAAGGCCCAATTTCATACAAGGGCATGAGCTACGCTCATGGGCTTTTTTTTCTAATTGCCCATTTGTTTGATGGAAAACTGACTGAAAAGTCCTATAAGAAAGGTGGGTGCATAAATTAATTCTTTTGATTTTTTGGTGATTAAAAAATCTTATTTACTTTTAATTGTTACTATAAAATTTTATTTATTTTTTATTTTTTAGCTGCATTTTTATAAAAAGAAGTGTTACTAATTATTAACTTTTAACGGCAACTGAAAAACATCACTAATTGTCATTTTTTTACAATAGATGTAAAAAATCATCATAGAAAAAATTAATAATTATCAATTTTTAATACATTTTTAGAAAATTATTATAAAAAAACGTTACTAACACCTGTAAGACTTAATAGTGCATTAGTCTTTATAACATGACCAATGAGTAATTATCCCTTTTTGTTTCAACGTTGATGGGCCAACTAACTTGGCTCTTATGATTCGGTATTACCTTCGGCAGTGTGCCGAAACAATTGTAAAGAGTTAAATGAATATATTACTCTAATTACAATTAAGTAGTCTTTTGAAAAAAGGATGAATTATACTAATGATTCTTATAATTTAGGTTTTGTGTTATTTTGATTCTTAATATTTTAATTGTAATATATTTGACACTCTAAATTTTGAATTTCATTTTAAATAAGGACAATTGAATATATTGTTACTCCATTTCAAAGACAAAGTAGTCAATTTGATAAAATATAAATCAGTTTGACAAAAATAAATATCGAAAAATTATTTTTAAATTTTTTAAAATTATTTCTACTCACCAAAGATAAAATTATATAAAAATGATAAATCTTTACACTTATTTAAGTCATCCCAAACAACCCATTAATATATGAAATGTTTTTAGTTTTACATTTTTTTGATTTAGTGGATCGATTTAATAATGACATAAAAGTTGTCACCATATTCGACTTTTAAAAAAATAAAAACTCTTTTAACGAAAGTAAATATCAAAAAAAATTATGGGCAAAACACCAATAAATCCCAAATTTTAATTTGTTAAACCATTTGGTCCTGTCTTTTATTTTGTAGACTAATAAGTCTTATTTGAACGTTAAAAGCTCAGTATAGGCCTTTTTTAGATTTCCCTCATTTCCGAACATCATCAACATCAACTACATTATCAAAACATCATCAAACGTCATCAAACATCAGTAATGTTCTGTTCATATTTTTTTATCAAAACAAACATCACAACGTCATCAAACATTTGTAACGTTCTGTTCATATGTTTTTATCAAAACAAACATCAGCAACGTTCATATCAAAACATCATCAACGTCATCAAACATCAATGTTCTGTTATGTTGTATAAACATCAAGCAATTTAACATCAGCAACGTTTTGTTCACATGTTTTTACCAAAACAAACATCATCAACGTTCTGTTCATATTAAAACATCATCATCGTCATCAAACATCAATGTTCTGATATATTGTATAAACATCAACGTTCTGTTATATTGAAATTGCTTGATGTTTATACAATATAATAAACAAAGATACCATACCAAATATAAAAAAGACTAAATGGTTTATAAAAACACTCAGGACTAGATAGAGCAACATTTCCTAATAAGGCATTTATGAGTAATTTTTTCAAAAATTATTTCTGCCTTCTCAAAACATAAAATTATATAAAAATAATGCGTTTTTAATTTTTTTTCACCAATTTAATTTTTAGTTTCTTAGAAATTTTTTCTAAAAATAGATTATGAAAACCAAACCAAACAGAATTTTATAACAAAAAATTTTTTAACATTATTTATTAAAAAAAATGCCATCATATTTCAAACAACATATAAGCTAACCAACAAAATAAATTGTGTGACGATTTTACCCTTTAAATGGAGCAACTATGTCTTCAATTGTCCTTATTTGGAATGAGATTCAAAATTTAGGATTAAATATATCACAATTGAAAGGTTCTAGACCAAAGTAATACAAATTCCAAACTATAAAGACTATTAAAGTAACTCCTCCTTTGAAAAAATAATTACAATGAAAAAGTTTAGGATTTGAATTCTTAATGTTTATAAAGTTTACTATTAATGTGTAATTTTATGTAAAATTTACACTAAATCATAATTTCCTTATAAATAATCATTAGATGGGTACACATATACATGGTGTTCCAAATTTACTAGATAATTTCTGTTACCTATATGACACCGCATATCCAAATAAAATGGAAATGATTCATTATATTTTTAATCTCAAAAGTATAAATTTCATTTTGATTCTTAATATTTAAATTATATTGATTTAATTACTCAATAATAGTAGAAGTCATAGTTACACCTTTAATTATTATAAAGGGCTAAAATCCTAGATTTCACCCCACAACTTAATAATGCACATATATCACTTATTGATGAAAGTAGCCATTAGGGGGGCTAGTAGTAGTACTAAAATACTACTCCTTTAGAGAGAGAGAGAGCCTATCTTGGCCCTGCATGCATGCATGCATTACAGAGAGAGAGTGAGAGCCTATCTTGGCCCTGCATGCATGCATTACATCTATGCATGTGCCTTCGAATGGAAACTGGTCCAAACTGGTCCCCTCCACAACCCTAACCTAAATCCTAATCCTAATCCTAACCCTAACCCTAATCTTAATTCTAACCCAAAGCTCAAAATTCCAACATTTTCAAACTATACCAATCACCCAACAGAGCTACATTCATAGAATTTTAAAAAATAATAAATAAATCGTATAGAAAGCACACTGTGTGATTGAAATTTATTTTAAATATAACTTATATAATACTTATAAAATGAATTTTACCTACACATTATACTTTTTATATTTAATTATATGCAATTATGAGTTCTTACCAATCATCACACCCCTTCTTAACCACACATCTAGGTACTATATATATGTGAATAAATTTATAGATGCATAATTAATCGCAAAACTAATCATAAAAACACAAGTCGAGTACTTTGAATGGAATAATTTATTTAATAACACGATTCACAATGTGATATATATAATTAGAATTATTTTATGTAATTTTTTCTATAACTGATTTTGTATCCTTAAACTTAACGATATACACAAATACACCAAGAAATATTTGTGACGCACAACTTCACTATATCTTCTTGTGATTTATTTTACGTGCGTTTGGTCCCCTTATTATTTAGAAATGAACATATAACATATTATGATTTGTGAGTTAAAGAACATCGTCAGATGTAATGTCAAAGTTAATAGCAATTGTGAAACAATACGTGCCTAAATATAAAGAAATTATGTTAAAAGATAAATCACATATGTGATAAAACAAAAGAGGTAAAAGTGCGTTTATGTCTTTAGAAAATGACTACATCTGTGGTTTACACAATGATGTTACAAATCTACATATGGTATTTTTTGTATTTTTCTTAAAATTGTTAACACATAAACGATACACTTTAAACCACAAATTATAGCTAAATAATATAAGGGATACCACAAGGAGGAGGTAGGTACCTCCTTTCTTTTTCGTAATAAAAAGTTTAGGTGAGGAGAGGCTATTCCAGTCTAAAACCAAGATAAATCGCAAGTCCCAGCGAAAACTTAGGGGTTATTTGTGATGACCTAAATAAGTGTACTTTTTGTCTTTTTATAAAAAGATGTGCAGAAAAGTAGAGAGATGATGTGATGAAAAAAAAAATAAAAAGATAACTTATTTTGTGTATGTCAAACTTGACCTCATATTAAACTTAGGCTTCGTTTGGGAAGCCATGGTTTGAGCTTTTTTTGGCTATTTTAGCCACAAAAAACAAAATAGGCTATTTTAGCCATAACAAACAAAACATCACATTCAACCCATAATCATTACATTCTTCTCTCACAAAAAAACTCAAAAAAGTCAAAAAACCAAAAAGCCCTTCCCAAACCAAGCTTTTAAGCCCAGGCTAAAATAGTCAAAAAAACCAAAAAACCAAAAAGCCAACCCACTTCCCAAACGGAGGCTTATAGATTATCTACAAACAGAGCTGCTGGTAACGAAAATCGAACCTAAATTTTAAAGACAAAGAGAGTCTAATCCTTATACCACCTCAACCAAACCCAGTTGGTAAGGAGGAGGTGTACCTATCCATATCTAAGTAGAAAACAAACAAAAGCGACTATACATATCTCTATATCTTAGCTGCAAATATCACAAGCCTGCACTGCACTGCAACAACTGCAATGCACAGCCCCTATGTGTAAAACCACAATTAAAAGCTTATCTTTTCTTGTTCTCTTTTTTCACTTACTTTTACTGCTCTGATCTTCATTGTGGTTATTGCTATTATTGCTTTATAGGGCCTCGAAAAGCGTTTTTTGTACTTTGGGTTATAAGAACACTTCGTAGATCTTGCGTCCTTTCTCTGTGTGTGTGTGTGTTTCCTTTTTCCCTCCTCTCTCTATCACCCCTCTCACAACTACTCTTGCTTTTCCTCCTCCTCAGTTATAAACTCGAAGGTTATCCATTTTACCTTTTCTATCCTTTTTCTTTCTTGGTTTTCCTGGAAAATTACAGCTTCTAACACTACCCGGTTTCTTCGTTTTAGGTGTTGTTTGTTTCTTGGGAAAATTCTTGGTTTCTTGTTATTTAACCTGTTAGCAAGCCAACCTTAGTTCATTTTGCTTTCTTTCAATATTATTTTTTCTTCATTCTTTTCATTTGATTGGGATTAGCAATGAAGAATTTCAATACCCAAATTCACATCAGGGTTTTCTTGCTTGTCGTGTTCGTTGTCATCGGTCCATATATTTTGTGCAGTAGCCAAGAAGAAGAAGACATTTTCACAGCTCCAATGGAGGTAAAGGAACGAAAGGCCTTGTATTATGCTATTCAAGGGTTTGTGGGAAAGTGGTGGAATGGCTCAGATCTCTATCCAGACCCTTGTGGTTGGACTCCAATACAGGTACTATCAATAATTTCTTGAGGCCATTTTATATGGGGATTTGCCTTAGTTTTGATTATGTTAGTAGACGGTGAAATTAGTCTAAAAAATAGTTGGTCTGGTGTACAGATACCAAGTTATTAAAATGAAATAAAAAAAATAAAAATTACTAGCATAACAAGAAATTTATCAATTCAATAGAACAGTAAGGAACAAAATTGTGATGGCATTTTAATGAAAAATCTAATAAACTTATGCAAAAACAGTTATTAGTTTGAGTATTTTAGTGATATTTACATTTTAAGAAATGATTTTATTATTTTTATAATTTTTTGGACAGTGTAAGATGCGTTTATATGACTTACCAAAAATATATGCTCTGAAATAATGATATATATAACTAGAAAAATGATTAGTAATATTTTAGATGGATCCATGTTAGATTTTGGTATTATCATTTTAATTAGGAGTTGTGATGGCTTATTATTTTTAAATAATGGCATATTAAAAAAGGATTAGGCTTTTGTCTCCAGTTCAAAACCTGGACAACAAGTGTTGTTCAGGCTTGTGTGGACTCACCACAGACTCTATTTTGATGATCTAAATCGTTTATTTTATATGATAATTGTAATCTTTTTATTTTATCGGTCTTGTCTCTAAAAAAAAATGAATAGTCTATTTTTGAAAATACATTTGTCCTCTACTTTTTTGAAAAAAAAACATGATAAAATAAAAATATTATGATTATCGGATTAAATTAAATTTTTTATGGATAATATATAAGTAGAGCCTTAGAGAATGAACTGTTCGGATTATCGAAATAAAATATGTGGCGAACTCCGTGGCCCGAACGTCTTTAGTCCAGATTTTGGACCGGAGACAAGTTTAATCCTTAAAAAATACAATAGGCCCCACAAGTTGGACATAATTACATCACATTTTTTTAAGATTTTAATTCATATAACACTTAATCATCTTTTCATCACTATATTATTCTAGTTGAATGTTAAGGAAAAGGGCAAATTACATATACCTCCCTCGAGGTTTAGCTAAATTACAGATACCCCCTGAGGTTTTGGAAATTACATCCCGCCCCCTGAGGTTTGTATTTTCATAACAATTTGCCCCTTGAAATTTATATTTCATAACAAATTATCCTCTAATTTCTTATGCAAATATAACATTCATAGGGGAATTCCATAAGTTGGACATAATTACATCACATTTTTTTAAGATTTTAATTCATATAACACTTAATCATCTTTTCATCAGTATATTATTCTAGTTGAATGTTAAGGAAAAGGGCAAATTACATATACCTCCCTCGAGGTTTAGCTAAATTACAGATACCCCCTGAGGTTTTGGAAATTACATCCCGCCCCCTGAGGTTTGTATTTTCATAACAATTTGCCCCTTGAAATTTATATTTCATAACAAATTATCCTCTAATTTCTTATGCAAATATAACATTCATAGGGGAATTCGTAATTTCTCAAACCTCAGGGGGTATCTGTAATTTAGCCAAATCTCGAGGGGGGTATATGTAATTTTCCCTAAGGAAAATAATTCTAGGAAAATAGGATTTTCCTTTTTTTATAGTCCAGATTTGGATGATGGCACCAAATAACTGTTATTCAAAGAAATTCAATTATTTGGTATAAAGTTTGCATCACACAGATGTATTATGATTTTGAACAATGTACTACTTAGAGAGCTTTGGTTACTAGGTACTTGTTTTTCTCTATAAAAAGAAAAAAAAAAAAAAAAGTATATTTACTTTTTAAATGCACATAAACTTGAGTACTTTTTCCGGTTCACAAAAACACAATCAAGTGCGACATACTATATGTAGAAAGATCAATCCTTTTTTCCCCTTGAATTTTGACACAATATTAGTTCATTTTCCATCTATTTATTACATATATTTAACTCAATCAATTTTTTTTCTTTGGATTATTAATTATCATGGACAGGGGGTCTCATGTGATCTCTTCAATGGCTCATGGTATGTTACTGCAATAAACATTGGGCCGGTTTTTGACAACTCTCTTCAGTGCGCCCCAAACGCAGAATTCAACCATCACTTATTTAAGCTCAACCATCTAAAATCCCTCTCCTTCTACAATTGCTTCATCCGAAAACCCGTTGAAATTCCCACATCAAATTGGCAAAAACTAGCTAATAGCTTGGAAACCCTAGAGTTCCGGTCAAACCCTAGCCTCATCGGAGCAATACCGAGCACTTTGGGCTACCTCAAGAGCCTTCAATCTCTAGTGCTTCTTGAAAATGGACTCACAGGCCAATTACCAACTGATATAGGCAATTTAGTAAACTTGAAGCGGCTCGTCCTTGCCGGAAACCGCTTTGTGGGTCATATTCCGGCTAACTGGGGATTATCTTTGACTAAGCTCTTAATTCTTGACTCAAGCAGGAATTATCTATCTGGGTCAATGCCGTTGACTTTTGGAGGGTTGACTTCACTCCTAAAGCTTGACTTGAGCAACAACCTTTTAGAGGGAGTTTTGCCAAGACAAATAACACTAAATAATCTCATACTATTAGACCTAAGTCATAACAAGTTTTCAGGTGGGTTGACTCATTCACTTCATGAAATGGTTTCTTTGGAAGAGATGGTTTTGTCTAACAACCCAATAATGGGTGGTGACCTAACGAGCATTCAATGGGAAACCCTACAAAACTTGGAATTCTTGGACCTATCAAACATGGGTTTGACAGGAAACATTCCAGAGACCTTGACAGGATTGAAAAGACTCAGATTTCTTGGACTCACCAACAACAGTCTCTCAGGGAATGTGTCTCCAAGATTTGAAGATATGCCTTGTTTGGGTGCACTTTATTTCCGTGGAAACAACTTGACAGGGAAACTGGAATTCTCAGAATTCTTTTACAAGAAAATGGGGAATAGATTTGGAGCTTCCAATAATCCAAATCTTTGTTACTCATCAGTTGAGTTAATGGATTCAAGATATGTTCCTTTTGGGGTAAAGCTTTGTCAACAAGAAAGAAGTGTTCTTGATAGAGACTCAATGGTCAAGATCAGTGATAGCAATTTGCATCAAGATTCCCCATTTGTGGGCTCTTTGGGATTTTCAAGCTGTGCTGGAAATAGGTTTTTTTGGGCAAACGAGATAATTATGTTTGTTGTTTGGATTATTATGCTTTTGTAGGGTTTTCATTGGATAGGAAATATATATTAAATTAAGGTAGCTATATATTGCTTATATGCCATTGCTTATCTTTGTTCTTATTTTTCTTCCTCTTGTTTTGTTTTGTGTTTTTTTATTTTCATTTATTTTTAGTGGTAATTGAAAGGAAAATACCACACAAATCTACATCATTTATTCCGCCTTTTGCCAGCCAGATTTCATTAACTTCCTTAACATGTTTAATTGGGGATGTCAGTGTTATTTCAAAAACAAAGAGTCGGTGCTCAAGAAAGGTCAATTAATTTATCCAAAAATTGAGCTTAAAAATTCATTCTTAAATTTTAGTTACTTAATTAAAGTCTTTATTAATACCAATTCAACAGTGAAATAAATATTTCAGCATTTTCAAATTTTTGAGTCTCTTAATAGCAAGTAAACATAAACAAAATGGAGAAGCTTCTCTCTAGTTCATGATTGAACTAGAAAAGTCTTTGCGCTCATCTTGATATTCTGAATCCTTTATCAAGGATATTATTCATACAAAAAGTTAAGTTAATCTATCGATAATCACTTGATTAGATCATATTTATGTGAACAAAAATATACTTACTATCTTCAAAATCATACAATTTGTATTTTTTTTCCAAATAAGTGTGATCCGATCAAATAATGTGTGATCCGATCAAATAATGTGTTCAATGAACCACACAAAATGAATGGTTCAAATTGTTAGGACGGGCCCAAAATGGGCCACAATGGCTGGACTGGACCTTTTCAGTCTGTAAGTAGACTAGAGAGAAGCTACTTTCAAACAAAATTATATATATTATCTATGAAAAATAAATGAAAAAAAAAAAAAATCAGTTTTCTCTAATTGCATGATTTGTTTGGAGTCTTTCTCTCAGGGCCCTGTGAGCTGATCTTTATCCCAAAATTTAAATTTAAAATAAAATAAAATAAAAAATCCTATGCTATTTGAAAAACAGTTATACCAAAGTCAAAAGATGGCCCTTCCTATTCTTTTGCCGCCAAACACCCCACAAATCCCTCCCCTGATATTACTCTCCCTCTCTCTCTCTCTACAACCAACTTCAAAACCAACACTCTTTAACAAGTCCAATTACTTAACCCAGAGAATCCCCAAGCAATCTCCCTCTATCTCTCTCTCTCTCTCCCAAAAAATGGCTTCTCTCTTCATGGGCTCACTCAAAGTTCTCATTTTTTTAGCTTTCTTGATCTCTTCTTTCCAATTCCTCACTGTAATGTGTGTTGAGTTTGAAGTTGGAGATGATAAAGGTTGGGTTGTTCCCTCTTCAAAGAAGGACCAACTTTATAATGAATGGGCTTCAAAGAACAGGTTTAAAGTTGATGACACTCTCCGTAAGTATTGTTCTCTTTTCTTTTTTTTTTTCAAACAATATTGATTGATATATTGATAAATATCAAACGTTAGAAGTTCGAAATTTTGATACATATCAGCTGAAAATATATGTATTTAAAATCCTAGTATTGACTGATTCATGATATGTTTTCAGAAAAATAGTTGAGAGCACTAAAAGTGGTGCTCTAATAACACCATTAATAATGTGGCAGTGGGTGTTGTTTTTTTTTTTGATATTCCCAATGCATTAGTGTTATTAGTGATCTTTTTTTTAGTAGTATAAATCATTGTTGTATGTTTTGATTCGTGACGGATAGGATAGGACTGACACACAGATGGTTTAACTTGCTATAAAGCTCTTTTTGTTGCTAATGATCTAATAAATAAATAAATTTACAACCACATCACCTTATTCTTAATACATTACTATTTCTCTCCCAATACCGTTATGATTCAAATAGTGGTATTGAGATTGTTGTTATGATTATATATTAGCTGATATTAAACAATATCAATCTATACATGAGTGAATATCACCTGATTCTCAATACACTTGCGACTAACACTGATTCATATCCAAATAATGTTATTGAACTTTCTTTTCTAACATTCCATGGATACATATCTATGTATACATATAGGGTTTGAGTACAAGAAGGACTCAGTTATGGTGGTGACTGATGAGGAGTATGATAAATGCAAATCCTCCCACCCTTTGTTCTTCTCCAACAACGGCAACACAGTTTTCAAACTGGACAGGCCAGGGCTGTTCTACTTCATTAGTGGGGTGGCCGGACATTGCGAGCGAGGCCTGAAGATGATCATCAAAGTTCTTGAGCCGGTGAGCCCGCCTCAGTCGACGCCGTCAAATGGGACCTCCTCGGGTTCATCCCATAACAGTGGTGCATCTTCCTCAACAATTGTGCTGCTCATGATCATGTCATTGTTTGGGGCTTTTTTCATGTAAATTTTGGGTGCATTATTGGAGTTTATTTTTTTTAATCTCATTTTTGAAGTTAATTAGGTGACTGCGAAAGCAGCAAGAGTAGTCTACTTTATTTGTTTAGTATGGGATTGATTTTCTAAACTATTATTTTGGTTTTTATCTCTCTCTCTCTCTCTCTCTCTCTCTCTCTCTCTCTCTCTCTGTTTTAGTTTAATTTTGGACTTTTACTCTATGCTATCAATGTGAATGTGAAAGCATGATAAAGAAAAAGAAAAAAGATTAAAATGTAAATGAAATATTTTACCTACATTTCACCCACAGCCTTAATGTTTCCTTAGCCTTTATTAGAATTCACTCACTTCCCTTCTTATCCCTTGTTTGGACAATTACATTTTGCCAACCTGAAAATTTCATCAATTCTTTTTGGAACAAGCTCATTCAGTATTAGATTGATAGTGACGAATAAAAATAAACAGAATGTTCATAACAAATGATGTATTATTAATATTATTCATAAGCCTATCATTTCAATTCATAATTGCAAATTTTTTTTTGGAATTTTCTGTATGAAAGTAATAATTTCCTATGGATCATAATAGTAGTAAGACTAGGATTTCTTCTCCATTGCCCTGTGCACGAGGGAAGAACATGAAAGACAGAAAACTCCCACACTAGTAATCGGGGGCAGGTAGAAATGGAAGGCTAGCTTGTTCTAAACCTACAGGAGGAGGAAAGAGAGCTAGGGAGCTTCATCGCTATGGAATGTAAATCAGGAGGAAAGAGAGCTAGGGAGCTTCTTCATCACTATTGAATGTAAATCAGTCATTCAATTCCATGGCAAAGAAAACCAAAACTGTGCAACCATCCATATGCAACAGGATAACAAGAAACAGAGCCAGCAAGGCCCTCGAAGTCAAATACCTCATCTAGTGAGGTTTTCAGTACCACAAGTCCATCGGTCATTGTGTGGGTGGACTAGATTTATTCCGGTTTAAGCAATCCCTCTTTCTCATGTTTCACCATATGGATTACCTATCTTTCGGTTTCCTCCCGCAACTCCCTTCAGTCTCCTTTAGCTCTGGTGGGCGTGGTTCTGTAGTTCTTCTGACCTTCCTTCATGTCGTAGCTTTTTTTCTCTCTCTCTCTCTCTCTCTCTCTCTCTCTCTCTCTCTCTCTCTCTCTCTCTCTCTCTCTGTTTTAGTTTAATTTTGGACTTTACTCTATGCCATCAATGTGAATGTGAAAGCATGATAAAGAGAAAGAAAAAAAGATTAAAATGTAAAAAAAAATATTTTACCTACATTTCACCCACAGCCTTAATGTTTCCTTAGCCTTTATTAGAATTCACTCACTTCCCTTCTTACCCCTTGTTTGGACAACTACATTTTGCCAACCTGAAAATTGCATCAATTCTTTTTGGAACAAGCTCATTCAGTCCTTCAGTATTAGATTGATACTGACGAATAAAAATAAACAGAATGTTCATAACAAATGATGTATTATTAACATTATTCATAAGCCTATCACTTCAATTCATAATTGCAAAATTTTTTTTGGAATTTTCTGTATTAAAGTAATAATTTCCTATGGATCATAATAGTAGTAAGACTAGGATTTCTTCTCCGTTGCCCTGTGCACGAGGGAAGAACCTAAACGACAGAAAACTCCCACACTTGTAATGGAGGGCAGGTAGAAATGGAAGGCTAGCTTGTTCTATTGAATGTAAATCAGCCATTCAATTCCATGGCAAAGAAAACTAAAACTGTGTAACCATCCATATGCAGCAGGATAACAAGAAACAGAGCTGGCGAGGCCCTCGAAGTCAAGTACCTCATCTAATGAGGTTTTCAATACCACAAGTCCATCGGTCATTGTGTGGGTGGACTAGATTTATTCCGGTTTAAGCAATCCCTCTTTCTCATGTTTCACAATATAAATTACCAGTCCGTCGGTCGACGTGTGGGTGGACTAGATTTATTCCGGTTTAAGCAATCCCTCTTTCTCATGAAACATATGGATTACCTATCTTTTGGTTTCCTCCCGCAACTCCCTTCAGTCTCCTTGAAAATAAGCAAATATCATGGCCCACAGAAAATAAGCAAAGCATAGCATCTTTTCTTTTCTTTTCCAGTCAATATAGTTGTGGGTGGTGTTGATAAACACTGATTTGAGAGGAAAACAATTCTACTTGATAATGAGGCAACAAAATTATAGAGAACGGAGTTCAACATCAAGATGACAAAACCTAAAATATCATCACATAAAAATAGAAATCATAAGAGACGTGAGTTTAAGTTCATGATCATCAACAACAAATTTCATGCCGGCTCCTTGACATCTAAAACCATTTCTTTGACATCTGAAAAATATGCCCCCATAAAGGTAACTTTGTCTTTTTGCACATTGGCCACTATTGAAGCCACACTTCGATTTTCTAGTTTTGAATTACATGAACTAAGTTTAAAGTAGTAGTTAACAAATAAATGAAAAACTTGTACAAGAATAAATTATTTGCTTGAGAAGAAACATTTCTTGAACTACAAAACCTCATTGCAAAATTGGTGCATAACATATGCGCATATTGCTGATTCATATTTTGCTAATACCTTACAAATTGCCGCGTATCATCTCCTCCTTTTTGTCTCCCATAAGGGTTGCTGTCACTAAATCCATGACGGCTTCCTTCAACCTTGCGCGGTTTCTTCCTGAACTTGGATGCACTACTGTCTATGTTTAGGTTTATCTTTGGAGGACTAGTAAAACAGAATGAAGCAGCAACGGCCTGCCCAAATCCAAAAAATCATTCCATGCTTAGTATTTGGTAAGTTTCTAAAATCCAACAACCTCAGAGAAGAAAAGTTCATAGTGTCATGCCACCAACTTTAATTTCTATGATCAATAATTCATGAAATGTTCACAAATAACAGATAATGAATAACCTGGATTATCAACTATATTTTCTAAGTCCAAATAATTCAGCAGCGCAACAATGCTTCTATTGCCCTTGGATTATTATTCATCATTGAAATTAATCTTTGAACTTCTACCCAACCCAACATCTAAAACCTATATTACATAGACTAGGGTGTGAGTTTGGGTGTGGGCATGTGCATTGGATTAATCTAATTCTCATGTCCGAGGACACTAGAACACAATTAAATTTAAAAAAAAAAAAAAAAAAAAAAAAAATGGTAAGTTAGTGTTTACAAACTGACATAGATTTAATTGTGCATAGTTTTAAAGTAAATTAAAATCTACTACTTGAACATATTTGTTGAGTGCATGTCAGATTAGACATGTCAAACATATATTCCATACCTCAGTTGCACGAAGCAGGGGAGCAGTGTACATAGAAGATTCTATGGTTGAGAGTGCCTAGAAGAGTGTTGATATATTTTATACATAAATATATTATAAGAAATTTTTTTGTTGAATATGTTAAATATCTACATTACATCACCAATAACATACATCCTTCTCGTCAACTCACATAACCTAGCATCTATCTAAAATATCCATCCTTTAATTTTAAGAGTTGAGACGAAATTTAAGATAATTATCCTCTCTCTCTCTCTCTCTCTCACTCTTTCTTTTTTTTTTTTTTTTTTTTTTCAATTTTCCTTTTTTTTTTTTGCTTTGTAGCCTTTCTTTTATTTATTAAGGATTCATATGTTTCAATAATCCATCCCAATTGGAATTCTACCCAAGTTTTTTACTCCTCTTTTTTTTTTTTGATAAATAACAAGAAGATTTTTACTTCGAACCCGAGTGGGGCGTCATCCCTAGTAGGAGCTTCCTGCAACTATATTCCGTACCCTAAAAAGTGTCAAGTGTTTGACACAAGTACTAAACAAATTTAGAAGAACCTATGTAGCATAGTCTGCAACATTGTTGACAGAACTGGCTGTTAGTAATGGCTTCCTCAGAGTTTCCATAATATTATGCTAAAATATCTCAATGTTGAACCTAAAAATGCCTCATTCAATCATGAATTGAATTGACGCCATGTGATAAAAAAGTGAGAATCAACCTAAACATAACTGTCCTAGAAGAGGTACCTGCATATCAAGGCGGTGAACGTTAAAGATGTCCTTCATGGAATGTGAATTATAGGCTAATATGTAGGATCTGTACGCATCTTTAGCAGACTTGTTCAAATAATAGTTGTTGGCCACCAACTTTTCCTGCATCAGTCCAAATAGTCCATTTTAAGTCCCCAGAGCAAGTCATTACCCTAAAAAGGTAAATAAATAATAGATAAAAACATGCAGAAGCAGAATAAGTACCAGGTGAGATTGCACATTGGCCAACTTCTTTAAGTCATATTCATACTCCTTCACTGGCACTTTTGCTTTCTGAGGGAAGAAAAAAGAAAAAAAGGGAAGAAGAAAAAAAAAGAAGAAGAAAGAATATTAGTGAAACCTCACAGGAGCAAAGCAAATGAAGAGGTGTTTCCAGTCAATATAGTTGTGGGTGGTCTCTTCTATAATTGAAAAGCCTTTTTGCTCTTGTCCTTTTCAGCAAAGATTAGAACTGCCACATTACAATTTTACAGGACAGCATTCTATAAAGCATTATTTCCCTCTTATGATGCAAGTAGGATAAGTTTTAGCATTTAAGGCTGCATTTGATACTCCAAAATGGTAAAAGGAAAAGGAAAACGGGTTTCCTTCTCCTACTAGCATAAATGTTACATTAAAAAAAAAAAAACGGTTTTGATGTCAACAAAAGAGAAGGAAAATTGATATCTAAACTTGAACTAAAATTTTCTTCCATCGTTCTTCATATTTCCTTTTTCTCCCTGCTTTCTATGGTAACTACATACAAAAATTAAAAATTAAAAAAAAGTTGCCTTTTTATTTTCTTTTTCATTCTCTAATCAAATCCATGACCCAAATAGGGGAAAAACAAATACACACATCTTTATTTGTGTTCTTTGTTTGCTAATTATTCATTATTTATATCATAGATAGAAAAATATACAAGACCTTAAGATAGTGTAGAAACTGCATTTCTTCTGGAATCAAGAAAAGAAGTGCATTCCCTTTTGCACCTTCCCCACGGGCTGTACGACCAACCCTATGAATATATTCCTGAAAACAGTTGTCCAAAGAAACATATAAGCTGTAACAAGAAAGGAACAAGATAATGGAGATATCAGTAAATACAGTGTGCAAGTTAACCAAGGAAAAAAAGTTACGCACCTTGGGCTCATCTGGGGGATCATACTGCAGAATCCAGTCCTAATAGTAGAGAAGATAAAGAAAATGAATCAACATGAACTATTATAGATTCCATCTTGAAATGAAATAGTTCAGTCATAACAATTGGTACTTTTCCAGTGTTCCTTGTAGACAATTTTTGCAACCTTTTCATACATCTCATGGCAGTAAATTCGATGCTTGTAAACAGTTTTATACAGAGTCAACTGAAATAAATAGAAAAATAAAATTTCACAACAATGACAGCTAACAGCAGGCATCACCATGGCATGCTTGGCAGAATTAATTTCATTTATCATCTAAAGGTGCCAAAGTATTTAACTGCTATAAATCCCTTCCTCATTTTTTCTTTCTGTTCGGTAGGGGTGAAAGAATAACCGCAAGGACCGACCGAACCGACCAAACCGAACGATTTTCGGTCGGTGTTTTAAGTTTTCAATCGGTCGGTTCGGTTTAGTTTATTTTTTTCTGTACATTTGGTTCGGTATATGGTTTCTTGAACCGAACCGAACCGAACCGACTTATATAATATTAATAGTCTTAAAATCCTAGCCATCCACGTCGCATCATCTAAGCCATCCGCGTGTCTCACTATGTTAAAAAAAAGAAAAGAAAAACACACACCACACATACACGGTTCACCAACCCACCACACATCATAGATTTTTTCTCTCTCTTCGTCTCTTCGTTTTCTTCCTGAGAAGAAGCTCTCTCAGTTTCTCCATTTTTTCTCCATTTTTCTCAGACTGTCACTCTCTCTCTCTCACGGCCCTCTCTCGCCATCACTCTCTCTCTCTCAAGAATCAAACGAGAGCTCCCAGTTTCGAACGAGAGACACCGACTATCACTCTCTCTTCGCACTTCCTTCACTCATCAACGAAGCAGACGATGAAGATCTTGGTGGGTTTGTAGCAAAATCAACAAGCAGAAGCTTAATTAAAACCCTAAGGTGATTTTCGAAAACCCTTTTATTGATTGTGCCCTAATTTTCGAAATCCCTTTTATTGATTGTGCACTAAAGGAGTTTCTTTGTTTCTTGTTATTAGTAGTAATTTGAGGGCTGTCTGCTACATGTAACGTTGTTATTTATTTATTTATTTGCATTTGGAGAATCCCTTTCTGTTTCTTGTTAATAGCAGTATTGTTTTTTTTTTTTTTGTATTTGGATTCTGTGTTAATGATTTGGTATTGACTATCAATAGAAATAGCATCATAGTTGTGAAACATTCATTTTTTTTTTTTAAATTGACATTCATTTTTTTTTAAAATTGTTGTGCTAATGATATATAAAGAAATAATAAATATATATATATAAATATAATGGTTTGCAAATTCTTGTTGTTATTATGTTTAGATGGATGAAAATATGCTTGAAGTGCCCAATGAAACTGAAGAACCTACGGTACAAGAAGCTAAGGAAACAAGCACAAAAAATAAATTTGATAATGTGGGTAAAAGACCACGGTCTTTGGTTTGGGATCATTTTACGAAATTGGATTGTGAATCTGGTAAAAGACCTAGGGCCTCTTGTAATTTTTGTGGTGTAACTTATGCATGTGATCCGAAGATTAATGGGACAAAATCAATGCTAACTCATATAGAATCCAGGTGTAAGAAGTATCCTTTAAGGGAATATGCAAAGCAAAGTACCCTAAGTTTTAAACCAAAAAAAGATGGTGATGGAGAAACAAGTGGTAATCTTGTAGCTGTAAGCTTCAGTGTTGATGCATGTAGAAAGGCCCTAGCAAAGATGATAATAATAGATGAACTGTCTTTTAAATTTGTGGAGGGTGAGGGATTTAGACAATTCATGCATGTGGTGCAACCAAAATGGTTAAAAATCCCCTCTAGGATTACCGTTGCCAAGGATTGTATGTCACTATATTTTAGTGAGAAGAAGGTTTTGAAGTATGCACTTAGAGATCAACGACTATGCCTTACCACAAACACTTGGACATCCGTGCAAAATCTGAATTATATGTGTCTCACCGCACATTTTATTGATTGTGATTGGAAACTTCACAAAAAAATTCTTAACTTTTGTGTAGTTCCTAACCATAAAGGTGAGACACTTGGTAAGGTGATTGAGCAATGTTTGGTAGAATGGGGGATAGATAAGTTTCTCACAGTTACAGTTGATAACGCAAGCTCAAATAATGGTCTCGTTAATTTTTTGAAGCGAAAGAGGAAAACTAGAAAGAGTACCATATTAGAACATGAGTTTTTACATGTGAGGTGTTGTGCTCACATATTGAATCTAATTGTTTGTGAGGGATTGAAAGAAATTGATGACTCCATAACAAGGATTCGGAATATTGTGAAATATGTGAGATCCTCTCCATCTAGGATGGCTAAATTCAAATCGTGTACTGAAACGGAGGGCATTGAGTGTCATGGTCAACCTTGTTTGGATGTAGCTACCCGATGGAACTCTACATATTTCATGTTAGAGCGGGCTTTACCATTTCAAAAGGCTTTTGAGTGGTTAAAAGATGAGGACACACACTTCCGGTTGACTCTTAGAGAGGATGAGATTGGTGAGGTTGGTGAAAAAAGTGAGGAGGGTGAAGTTGGTGGTGAGATTGGTGAGGAGGGTGAACTTGGTGAGGGATTTAGAGTTGGTCCAACTAATAGTGGAAAAGGAAAAGAGAGAAGAAAAGCAATTGGGCCACCGACAAGTTATGATTGGATGAAAGCGAGGTTGTATGTCAAGTTTTTAAAATTGTTTTACAATGCCACATTGCGTTTTTCGGGTTCTTTGTATGTTACTTGCAACGCATTTTTTTCGGAGATAATGTTGATAAAAAGTGCAATAACCGAATTGTGTGAGCATGATGATCTAAGTTTGAAATTATTGGCACATGGCATGAGTTCAAAGTTTGACAAGTATTGGGGCAAGTTTGACAAGATCAATTTGCTATTGTTTGTTGCTATTGTTGTTGATCCTCGTTACAAACTTAAATATGCGCAATGGTGCTTGGAACTTATGAAACTCAACATGTTGATGGTTTGGTAAACAAACTAAAGAGAGGATTGACAAGGTTATATGAGTGGTATGTTTTGAATCTTCAAAACGAAAGTATGCAACCACAAAATATGGGGCAGCCATCAAGGGAAATGAATTTGGATAAAGATCATGACACGGATGTCCGAACAAAAATGAAATCCAAGTTTAAGATGCATTTGGAAGAAGAAAATCATATGGTTAACAAGTCCGAATTGGAGAGGTATTTGGTGGAGGGTTGTGAAAAAGATGATGATAATTTTGATGTATTGGGTTGGTGGAAGACTAATTCCACTAAGTATCGCATCCTCTCTCATATGGCTCGTGATGTTCTAGCTATCCCCGTGTCCACAGTTGCCTCAGAATCCGCTTTTAGCACGGGAAGACGTGTTCTTGATCCATTCCGCAGCTCTCTATCACCCTCTATGGTGGAAGCTCTCATCTATGCGCAAAATTGGTTTCGTTCCCCATCTCAAATCAATCTTACAGATCAATTAGAAGAATTGGAGGAGCTTGATTTAGGTATTTTTTTTCTTAAGTCACAAGTATTTCTTATTTTCTTTTCTTTTTTTTTTTTTAATGAAAATTATATGTTTAACACTTTAACCTATTGTGCATTGGGTCTTTGGGGGTGTTTGGTGGGGCTTTTTTGAACCAACTTATGACTTCTGGCTTTTAAAAAGTTATTTTGGACTGTTTGGTTAAACTTATTCCAAACAGCTTCTGATTCTAACAACTTATTTTATGTCAAAAAAGCTGATTCTGAGAAGCTACTCACCCCTTGCTTCTGATTATCAGCTTTTGCTGTGGACATGTTAATTCACGGTTATACTCTTAGATTTTTTTATTTTTTATTTTTTTAAAAATAGAAAAAGACCAAAATGGACTATAAAATATTATTATTATTTTTTATAGAAATGTAGACAAATAGTGAATAATAAAAAATAAAAGTTAATTGAAAAAACTACTTCACAACTTATTTAACAAACACTACCCAGTAACTTAAATCTATAATCCAACAGTTACACCAAACGGATTAATAACTTCTGATTAAAGTCATAATCTATAATCTGTTAAGTTATAATGTATAATTTGTTTTAACAGTTACAACAAACAGGACCTTTTTTTAGTACTTATGGAAGGAACAAGCAACAAGGATGTAACTGTTATTGATTGATGCTTGAAAGCAAGGGTAAGAAATTGAATAGTTGATGTAATTTTTTTTTTTTTATGTTAAATTGAATTATGTTGATAATAATTTTATTTTTTTTACAGGTCTCTTTTGCTTGCTTAGTTGGAAAGTTCATGTTGCTGCTGCTTACCTTAGATGGTTTCTATTTTATGTTTTTGAGTTTTGAGATTGATTATATTAATGGTCTGTAATATATATTAAGGCTTAGATTTAGACACATAGTTTTATGGTTGGATTGGATATATGGTTGGTTGATGGCTTAGACTTAGACTTGGATACAAGGCTTAGACTTTATGGTTGGATATATGTTATTTTTCATTTTTTATTGGTATATGTTAATAACAGGGCAGGCCCAAAATGTGAGGCCCCAAACTTATGCAAGAATTACATGACTTTAGGCCCAAATTTTATGCAAATGGATAAGAATATAGGCCCAAAATGTGAGGCCCAAACTTATGCAGGAATTACATGGCTTGAGGCCCAAATTTTATGCAAATGGATAAAATTATAAGCCCAAAATGTGAGGCCCCAAACCTATGCAGGAATTACATGGCCTGAGGCCCAAATTTTATGCAAAATGGCTAGAAATATTGGCCCAAAATGTGAGGCCCAACCAGCAAAAAAAAAAAAAAAGCCAAAAAACTGAAAAACCGAAAAAACCGCACCGCACCGTAATAAACCGTACCGCGCCGGTTTAAGTCATTTTCTGGGCGGTTCGGTTCACAAATATGCAAAACCGAAATTACCGTTTCGGTGCAAAACTAGTGAAAAAACCGACCGAACCGAACCGATTTCACCCCTACTGTTCGGGGTTGAGGACTATCATTGCTGGCATACTATATTCAAGACTAACAAGCAAAAGAAAGTAACATACCACTGCAGGAATATCAAGACCACGAGCAGCAACATCAGTACATAATAAGATGCCCTTCTCTGCTTTGCAGAAGTCAAAAAAAGTGGATGTACGTTTCTGCTGCTTTTGCTTTCCATGGATATCAAAGCAATCTACATGAATGTATCTGAGAAGTTCAGAGTGGAACTTGACTGAGTTACATGAAGAGAAGAAAACCATCACTTTCTTTGAGAGATTCCTCTTCAAGAAGGAATACAAAAGAATAAATCTCTTGGCACTTGGCACAACACAATAGCCTTGCTGCAGCCCTTCATTAGTGACCTATAATAGCAGACATCTTATCAGGTTGTAGAAGCGGGTACTGAAGAAAATCATGACACACTGAATAAATTCCAATGATTAATTTACCTTCTTCCGCCCATCATCCACATCAATATAGACAGGAGTTGTCTGAAATGATAACCGAGCAAGATCCTCAACCTGAAAATTTATAGATATTTCTGCTTAAGCTTCCATAAACATAGAATTTATAATTTTGGTGTTGGAAACACTTTTACAATGTTCAAGCAACAAAATTAGGAAAATCTTATCAGAATTTTATTCACTGTGGGAGTTTCTATAAAGAAAAGAATTCAGAGATATTGATAAAAATATATATATATATATATATATATATATATATATATATATATTGAGTTTAAAACAATGTATGTTTACAATCTCAATAAACAAAGGAAATAATAAAAGCGTGTACAAAAATACCTTCTTAGTCTGGGTAGCTGAGAATAAAGCTGTTTGCCTCTTCTGCACATCAGATAACATCTCAATTAATTCAGACACAGTGAAAGACACCAAATATACACTTGTATAACATATGTATCGGTGACAAGAAGTAAACTTGAAGCATTTCAGTTACTGCAGGAACAAATTAACACATTGTAAAATCAATTATGAAGCTTCAGGGGTGAAACGCACCCAGAAAATTGATCCCTGGTGAAGGAATCAACAAAGCAATGCAGAAAGCAACAATGTCTCGAACATTAGATTTTCCTTTCCAGGTCATTCATTCGGTCCCTTTGGGAAATCATATCAATCGGCATGTTTGTAAAATCTAAACCATATGACTCAAAAAGGTAAAATGCGCAATTATCTTCATCAGGAGGAAAAAAATCATTCTCGAGGTGTATATTTTGAAAAGAAAAAAGTTTCAAATAGATATAGAATAGCCTACATCATTTTTTCAATTCAAAAAATTGAACAAGAATCTTTCAATTCAGAAGATTTTTTAGATTTTCCAATTAAATTATGCAGAGAGAATAAAAACAATCACATGATATTAATTTAATGAAATAAGGTGCTAAAACAATTTCATATCATATAAGGCCTTGATTCATAATAGCTGCATGACACTCTGTACCACATTACAGTCAATAATACAAACGACTAAAATATGATTTACCTTTGGCAGAATCTTAATAATTTGCTTCATTTCTTCTTCAAAGTTTGCTTCCAATATCCTGTCGGCTTCATCAATTATGAGACACTGCAAGTCCAAAAAAAGAAACTTAAGTATATAGAGCATGTAGCAAGTTGTATATATACATATAAAATATGGTCTTCAGGAATTGGCATGATATAGCTTCAACTTGAGGTGGTGCCATGCAAACTTTAAAATAACCATATAAGAAATGGGGGAAAACTAATGAGACTGCCCAAAACCTAGTACCTAATAAATTGTAACACAATGGATTCTACCCATAACTAGAAGGGGAAGTCAGTCAGCAAAATGCCCTTGCCATCCAAATGTCTGAGAGCTTCTTCACCCTCACACCTCCAATTTCATATAGTTTCTTGTGAAGTCATAAACTCTTAATAATACAAATAGAAAGACAAATTGTTAAAATTTACCATCACCTACCACCAATTTACCATCACCTACCACCACCTACTCCTCACCTACTCCACTCACCCTCTCCTATATAATGAGCCACTCACCATTTGTAATATACATCAATACATCAATACATCAATCAATAATACATCACTTTTTACATGGTATCAGAGCAGGTTTAGAACCTAGTATTTTTCGCTTCCCCGGCGGGCGGCAACCTCACCTTAGCCGCCCGCCGGACCTCAATCTATTCCGCTTATTTTCTACACATACCTTCCCATCATTGTCCAAATCTTCTCTCTCTCGGAGGCAACCCAGCAACACCCACTCGAGCTTATACTTTTCAGAGATAACTTCCCCTGGCAACTTTTTTGGTTTACGCAGTGGAACAAATTTTGCACCAATTGCCAACGCAATCGAAGGACCAAACATAAATCCTCTAGCTTCAACTCCAGCTACAACGGAGATACCCATGGCTCTGTATCGATCAACAAAGATGTCAACAGTGTACTTGAAAGCTTTGTGGTCCAATAACAGAGTTGTTATGTCTTGAAACATTATTCCTGGTTTTGGGAAGTGAGGGACGACTCTAATGGCTTCTGATATGGCCTTCAATCTCGGGCCTCCTCGCAACCCATTCTCTGATGCAAACATATCTTTGTATAATTTGGGTTTATTTGTTTATTTGCTTGCTCTTCTCCCCCAAAACCAGAGCTTTCTCTCTCCTAAGCTAGAAGGAGAGAAGAGAGAAGAGAGAGGAGAGAGAAGTATAAGCTCAGAACCTTGCTCGAGATCCCGATGTCAGGATGAACCTGCTTCAGAACCTTGAAGATGTAGATCTTGTAGGTATCCACACTCTTCTTTGACCTCTTTTTTTCTTGTCTCCAGCAGCGCCGCCCTCCTTCGGCAGTTTCTTGCCGGCCTTCGGCTTCTTCTCTGCCGGAGCTTTCTCCGCCGCCGTGGTCTTCTTCTCCTCCGCCGGGTTCTTCTCCGCTGGCTTTTTCTCGGCCGTCTTGGGTGCCATCTGAATTTTCTCGGGAAAACAGAAAGGAATTTGAGAGAGAATAAAAGGGAAATGAAACGCAAAGGAGATTCTTGAGATACACAAACCGGCGGAAAATTGGAAACAATTTTGAACCAACCTCCACTGTCACCTTACACGTGGTCTGTGATTTCTTTATTTGTTTTTTTTTTTTTTTTTTTTTATTTTTTTTTTTTTTTATCCCTTTTTTTTTTTGAAAAAAAAAAAAACATACTTTTATGAGTACACTTTTGGATGTTAACTGTTGTGCTACGTATATGGTATATCATGGTTCATGCATGATTATTTTTATCTATATGTTGTGATTGGTTATGATCTTTGGGATCTCTACTGGGCTTAGTGCTCATCCCACGTGTTGTCAAACTTTTCAAGTACAAGATTGGAGAACTGTTTGGGACTTGGTGTCTTTTACTTTGTTAGCCACAGGGTCTTTTATTTTTTGGCCGAGAGCCATGTATTATATAAGGGTAAATCCCTTTTTGTTTTTATTTATTATTATTCAATGTAAGACTCTGGGCACTTTCTCATGTCCTATTTATATATCATCATTATTGTCATGAGACAATGTTATTATTTATTCGTTGTTCACGTTCTCACATGGATGGAATTATTTAAAATGGGAATTATTATAAAGGATTTGGCAATGAAATCGAGTAATGAAAGACAGTGCATGACAACTTGGTATGAGAGTGAGCCAGGTCGAATACTTTGGGCTTGTGGAAAGTAGTTTTACAATAGTGGGTTTACTGTGCTTGGTGAGGACGTTGCATATAGATGATTCATGTGTTAGGACCTTATGTGTTGTATTTATGTGAGCATGGGGTCAAGTTTCCTAGATAATGCTTGTCATCGGTGAACTTACATTGAGGTTCTATTGGAAACACGCCTGATCAACGTGGTTTCTGATAGGAATTCCTTGAGAGTTCTGGGGTGAGTAGTTATCTTGTGGACTTGATTTGAATATGTGATTAAGTGTTTAATTGTCTATATGTAACAGAATTATGTATTTTGGGGCTAAGCATGTCTTGTAACTTAGAAGGGGTAAGCGTGTGCCTCGGGCAAGGCGGTTGTGTTGCTTACTAAGTTTGTTTTTGTTTTGGTTTTATAGGATGTCTTCTCGACAGAGTAGAGGTCACGTAGGGAGTAGGAGTGCCAACTGAGGCACAGTTGTTCCACTAGTACCTGCCCCTGCAGCGTCAGCTGTGGGTGAGGAAGTTGGACGCAAGATTGTGAGAGTGGTGAGAGGTGCTCTAGCTCGCAATGACGGGGGACTAGCATAACCTTAAGTTGACCAAGAAGTTTCTTCGCTCTAATCCGCCTGTGTTTTTAGGGGAGCCTAAGCCGTTGGAGGTTGATGACTAGTTAGAGCAGATTACCAAAACTCTTGATATGCTCAGAGTCGAGGACGAGGAGTTGAGGGTTGTAAGTAAACTTGAAGCATTTCAGTTACTGCAGGAACAAATTAACACATTTTAAAATCAATTATGAAGCTTCAGGGGTGAAATGCGGCCAGAAAATTGATCCCAGGTGAAGGAATCAACAAGGCAATGCAGAAAGCAACAATCTCTCAAACATTAGATTTTCCTTCCCAGGTCATTCATTCACTCCCTTTGGGAAATCATATCAATTGGCATGTTTGTAAAATCTAAACCATATGACTCAAAAAGGTAAAATGCGCAATTATCTTCATCAGGAGGAAAAAAATCATTCTCGAGGTGTATATTTTGAAAAGAAAAAAGTTTCAAATAGATATAGAATAGCCTACATCATTTTTTCAATTCAAAAAATTGAACAAGAATCTTTCAATTCAGAAGATTTTTTAGATTTTCCAATTAAATTATGCAGAGAGAATAAAAACAATCACATGATATAAATTTAATGAAATAAGGTGCTAAAACAATTTCATATCATATAAGGCCTTGATTCATAATAGCTGCATGACACTCTGTACCACATTACAGTCAATAATACAAATGACTAAAATATGATTTACCTTTGGCAGAATCTTAATAATTTGCTTCATTTCTTCTTCAAAGTTTGCTTCCAATATCCTGTCGGCTTCATCAATTATGAGACACTGCAAGTCCAAAAAAAGAAACTTAAGTATATAGAGCATGTAGCAAGTTGTATATATACATATAAAATATGGTCTTCAGGAATTGGCATGATATAGCTTCAACTTGAGGTGGTGCCATGCAAACTTTAAAATAACCATATAAGAAATGGGGGAAAACTAATGAGACTGCCCAAAACCTAGTACCTAATAAATTGTAACACAATGGATTCTACCCATAACTAGAAGGGGAAGTCAGTCAGCAAAATGCCCTTGCCATCCAAATGTCTGAGAGCTTCTTCACCCTCACACCTCCAATTTCATATAGTTTCTTGTGAAGTCATAAACTCATAATAATACAAATAGAAAGACAAATCATTCCCTCTCATATGTTTGGTCAAGAGCATTCGTTATTAATGGGCATCAATTTTTAGTCATCCACCTCAAAGTTTCGCGTCATCAAAAGAAAATACAAATTATTAAAAATTTCCATTTTTTTCTTTTTTTTTTGGTCTCAACTCTAATCCGATTGAAATCATTTTATAATTAATTCCTTCCATGTATGTTTATTAGTTTTAGTTTGGCTCGATCATACATGTGATAACCTCTTTAAAATGTAGAATAGCCAGAAAGTATGGCAATCAGCCACAAAGTATCATTCTAGATTACTGGAAAAATTAAGTAGATCTGTTATACTATACCAATAGTTTTCTAATTGTTTAACTTAAACTTCAGTCCCCCAGAACCACCAAAAGGAGCCACCATCTACAAAAAAATACATATGTGATTTTCTTTTCTTCAGCAAGTTCCAACAAAAATGCCACCAACTAGATTTTCAGGAAACACAATTTACAAAGAGGAACTCAGCTTTTTGAGATACAAAATCATCTGAAGTTGTGGTTTCTTATGGGGTAGTTTATCAAATTGTTATTGGTGCTGTGCTATTGGTCCATCTTTCACTCGCCGGTTGAGGCTACAACTTTTTTCCCCTTTTTGACTAGTAGCATGCAGTCATAGTTTAATCCAACAAACTTGTATTTGCTCTCTTATGCTATTTTATTATAAATTTTTATCTTCAATTGATTTTTCATTTTAAAAAAATGCCCATTATAGGTTCAGTAATCACCATCATCTACAACAGACACCATTAACTGAGGATATATTTCAATCATGGTTATCAAAATCGCGATCCGGATACGATCCTATGATCCTAAATTGTCAAAATGATCCAAATCGTTGTAGGATCGATATTATAGTAGGATCGTACTGGATCGTGTAGGATCGTATGTCAGATCGTAAGTAGGGTTGCTAGATTTATGATTTTTCACCTTATTTTTAGTATGTATAATCTTGATTTGTATTTTTACCTTATTTTTAATAGAAAATAGAATCTTACGATCTTCGATTTGATCCTACGATCCTATCCTACGATCCGATCAGCGAGACCCTCTCCACGATCCTATGTAGGATCCCGATTTTAACAACCTTGATTTCAACTAGACTTTCAACTTAAATTATTGGCATAAGAACACAACTAACTGCATTAGAATATGTAACAAAACAACCAAGAAAGTTTAGCTGGAGGTACATTTTACATAAGTCCCGCATAGACTATAGTGTGCAAACATAACTGGTGAGCATAGAAGAAATTGAAGACATGTATGAGTGAATAAAAATACCTTTAGATTTTTATATATAAATCCCTTAGTGTTCTGTAGGTGGTCAAGAAGTCGGCCAGGGGTTGCTACTAACAGATTTACTCCTTTCACAATACGCTCTGCTTCTCCCCTGCGAGCTGCACCACCAATAACCAAGCCAAGAGTCTGTGAATGATGATTAAGAAGGTCCTTTGCCACTGCATGCGTCTGCATCATTTCATTGGAAGATTAGTCCAGGTCGTTACTTAGAAAAAATGACAATCCATTATAATTGAATGCAGCTAATTTGGAATATGGGTATATAAAGCAACAAGACCCCCAAAACAAAAGAAGTGTTATTAGAAAAGATGAAGTGGATTATCTTTCTTTTCTTAATGATTCGAACCAAATGAAATTAAAATCAGTAGGAGGTAAAACATGATTTCCAAAATTAGTAGAAAATGATGAAAAAAAATTCTTCAGAAGAGCTTAGAAGATGATCTAACACAGACAACAAGAAGTAACCTCCACAAAATAATATTCTAAATGCACTCTAAGATTGAGAAAGAGTTAAAATAATGAAGGAAAAATACTTCTATAATCAATATTAACCTTCTAGATTTATTATCTTTGCAGGAAGAAGGATACAAGATAGGGATGGCTTTATTCTATAATGATTTTGTCATTTCAATTTGCTAATTTAGAAAGTACATATATCACAAAAAGAGTTGTAATTGAGAGGATTATAGTGAAGGATTAATGATTGGAATCACATCACAGGCTATCTTGGGAAAAGGATTGATATTGATAAGTAAAAAAATAAAAATGAAAATAAAATAAAAACCAGAATATTTACCTGTATGGCAAGTTCCCTAGTTGGGCAGATGACAATTACCCCCGTTCCATTGCGAGGAGTAAATCGGATTTGATGTAACAACTCCACAGCAGGTATCAGAAAAGCAAGGGTCTTTCCAGAACCTGTCCTTGCAGCTCCAAGAACATCTTTGCCTTCCAAAAGTGGCGGAATAGATCTGGCTTGGATCTGCAATTGTAATCAGAAGTTAACTCAGGAATATATGTTCTATCTAAGGATATCAATTTACATACAAATAATTCATGCACTCTGTTTATAAAGGGATAGGTAATTCATTCTGTCAAGAGCAAATTATGTTAACAACAATGATCAAACTTAAAGATTCATTTACATATGGGAAGTGTGTAATAACATCACGGAGTGCTAGAAAATTCAGTGAACTAGGTATTTTTTGTTTTCTGTCAATGACAATAGGTGAATAATGGTATGCCACTTTTATAATACATGAGAACTGGGAATCCATTAACAGGTTGAGGCTTAGAAAAAGTCATTTCAAATCTTTTCCTATCACCTCCAGGCATATAATTTGGGCACACATATTTTCTCAATTTTAATTATTTATTCTCCAGTTACTACTAGAATGGGGAAAAAAGGAAAACAAACATTCATATCTTTGTTTTTTCCTTTGACAACTGTAAGAATGTGAATATCTAGTTAGTAAACCATGTTAGTAGTATCTCAGGATATTCTTTCAGTCTCAAAATACAATGAATATGAGCTACGAGTCCTCTGCAACCAACAGAGTACAGCATTAAGGGCATTCAACAAGGAATGTCCCAGAGCAGCAAATAGGTATCAAAACCAATCACACTGCTTCATTCAGCAACCAAATTCAGTTGCCACTTGACCTTAAGATATGTGACAAGCATACAATAGGACTCCCAAATGCAAGACACGGAACAAGTTCAGTTGACATTGACAACCCATTAAGCTAAAAACAAGCAAAACCCAAATCTCAACATCTGGATTTATCTCCACCACTACCAATGTGAGAGCTTCATCACTGATAATAAGTGATATAGGCCCTCGAAGAAAAGGTTTAATTCCTTACATTTTCCTACTTTTTCATAGCAATCAAATATAGCATACGAAAAAATTATTACAATAAATAAATACTACCCAAATTATGTAAAAATGAGTTTAGAAGAAGAAAAAAAAAATTACAATACCTCATTTTTCAGCTATTTTTTGCCAAAACAAAGATGAACAAAACCAAAACTAAAGCTAAATACAGTTCAAGATGCAATTTTTTTTTCCTTCCAACTTGCAACGAATCAAATCACTAATCAGAATTGAAGAAACAACAAATTAAAGGTTCATGTTACCTGAGTGAGGCATTGGAATTTCATATCTTTGATAGCATTAAGAGTGAGTTCAGAGATTGGCAACGACTCAAACTTCTCTGTAGTCATAATCCCAGACCCACTATTCACCTTCAACTTCACTTTCTTTTCCTCACTCTTCTCCTCCTCCTCCTCCTCCTCCTCCTCTTCTTCTTCATTATCCTCAGTTGATTCATCTCTCTTCAACTTCTTATTCCTTTTCTTCTTCTTCTTCTTCTTTCCATCTCCATTAGCTTCAATCCCAGATGCTACTCCGTTCTCTTCTTGCTCTTCTTCTTCTGTTTTGCTGTTGGGTGAATCGGATTCTGAGACTGGTCTCTGCTTCTTCTTCTTCTCTCTCCTTCGCTTGCGCTTATCGTTCTTCACCTCATCGTCTACCATGGTGTTAGGGTTTTTTTCTTCCATGGCCGCCACTTGCTCTGGTTTGTTGCGGTGGGTGGAAGAGAAAAGAAGCAAAGGAGGAACAAGATGGCACTTTTCTAGGGTTTCTATTGTCGCCCTTTTCCGCGGGGTTTTTATGAAGTGTTTATTATACTTTTAATTATCTATTGAGTATACTCAATCCTAAAGTATATATAAATCGATTCAAAAAAAAAAGGAAAAAAATTATTGTCTGAATCTATCAGGTGTGGTTTGGAAATATGTTATTTATTATTTTTTTAATTTTTTAGTTAAAATATGAGATAAAAAAATTAGTATTTTGAGGGTAGTTTTTTACGAAAAAAATATGTAAAAATTAGAAATAAAGGAAAAAAATTGACTTTTTTTTATTATATGATACTGATTTTTTGATTTTTAAAAAATAAATTTTTGACTTTTAAGTTAAAATTGAATGTTACCAAACAAAGGCCGAAGTCTCAAACATATTTAGTCACGGAAAGAATTACAAAAATAAAATATATACCCATAAATATATTATGAATTAGTAAAAGACCCTAACTAATTAAGATTTTTTTATAGATTTTTTTTTTAAACAAATTGTCTTAAAAAAGTATTTAAATTAGTATTAGAGTCTGATTTCTTGGTTTCACTAATGAGCATTAAAAATACTGAAGAAGTAAAATTATATAAATTTAAATAATAACACTTCGCTACAAATAATATAACAAAATAATGCATTAATTAAGTTATAAAAAGAATTTTGCGAAAAAACTTAAAAACGACCTATTAAAAATTATAAATAAAATATAACATATAATATTGGATAAAGGCAAATACGTAATCATTGTATAAGATAAATAAGAAAATATTATGGATAAGGAAAATGTTTGGGACCCCACAAAGGAGGACCCCATTGATGCATTGATCATTAATGTGTTTGAATTTTTTATTCTATCTCTAACAGTGACGTAAATGGTACAGATCATTTTGGAGGTTGTGAGAGTTATGTTTTGAGGGGATTTGGTGATAGACCCCTCACTTTCTAATTTGTCTTTCAAAATGACAAGAATAATATAGGTACTTTGAAAACCCTCTAATATTTTAAAACTTGTTTTTTTTACTATATTACCCTCATGTCTATCAACTCTCCTATTAAGCCATTCTCACAGTGTATTTCAGAGTAAAACTTTACGCTGATTCAGAGTTAACTTTACTCCGATTCAAAAATCAGAGTAAAGTTTACTATGATTCAAAGTAAAATTTTACATCATTAAGCAAATTAATATGTTTTTAACCAGAGTAAAATTTTACTTTGAAAGCATAATTTTATTATGAATCAGAATAAAGTTTACTATAATTAAAGTAAAATTTTATATTATTAAACAAATCAACATGTTTTTAACTAGAGTAAAATTTTACTGTTACAAAAAATAAAATACATACTAAATGAATGAACCAGAGTCAAATTTTACTTTAAGATATATTAACAAATAAAAATAAAAAAACAAGCCAATTGGAAACAACAAGGCGACATCTACAACTCAGATCCATGTTCTCCATATCTATTACAATCTGTCTCATTTTCATCAACATCAACACAAGAAAAAAAGAAAGAAAGTATCTGTTGCAATATGTTTCTTCATCATCATCAACAACAACAAAAAATGATCTAAACTTACATAATAATAATAATAATAAAAAAGAACTTGCGAAAGAAAATAAACAAATCAAATTTTTGAACAAATCACAACATTTTATCTATACAAACAGTGTGATTGAACACCAAACAAAAGCTGTGAGACCAGATTCGGAAGACCAGAAGCTCCCGAGCACAATTTCTCTTTCCAACTTCTTTTCTTCACTTGTACCATTGGAGATCACTTCGCAACAATTAACCACCATAGGTAACAGAGCATCTTTAATCTACAATAATTATAGAAAACTTGCTCAAATCCACCATTAATGGAAAACAATTTCAAATCTCAAACCCTAAATTCTCGATTTCTTTAGAAATCAACATTCTAATAACAAACCTTAACCCTAGCTTGATCATTTAAAACCCTAATTTTAATAAAATCACAATCAAACATGAAGAACAATACCTTATTATGCATCAAAATTGTGAATAATAGAGGTCCATGGCAAATAATAGAGGTGAGGAAGAGAGAGAGTAGGTTCTTCACGAAGGCTGTGGGTGAGGTCAGACATTCTCATAGTCGTCGGCCACGGTGGCGAAGAGGCTTGCGAGGTCGTCGACGTTAGTTTTGCTACCAAATCTGGTCACTCCAACTAGATCTCCTTTGAAACCCTAGCCATGACATCATCGTCTATGTAAAAGCAATAGTTGTGTCAGACGAAACTTTAGAGATTGAGATGGTGATTAGAGAAGATTTAGTTAAGGATATAAAAGTCTGATAAAATATTTAAATAACAAATTTTGTACTTTGTACAAGACTTCATAATTATAAGGGGGTTTTAAAAGTATAATTTTTTTCTTGGTCCCTTTAACAATAAAAGGAAGATAAGAGGGGGTTTATAGCGTAATTTCCCTATGTTTTGTGGAGGTTTCTATCATTACTGCTATGGATAATTACCCTTACTAGAGCTGTTCATGGAAATCGCGCATCTGCCTAATCTGCCCGAACGAATCGGACCCAACACATAACGGATGGTCTCAACAAGGTAGACGGTTGGCTATGGTTTGTTTAATTTGATTTTTGTAGATTCACGGTCGGTAGGGATGTAAAAATGGCTCGTGGCCCGTGGGCAACCCGAAGCCTACTTACGACCTGGAGTAGGCCCGGCTTGGGCCTGAGCCTAGCCCAAGACCTTGGGTCTGGGCCTGGGCCATTATTTTGAAGCTTGGCTCGCCTAACCTAGCCCAGCCCATCGGTGTAGACACCCCATTTTTGACCATCCTCAAGACTTGGACGTCATCGTTTGAACACTCGATGATCATCCATGTTCGTGTTCGTCTTGAGTTCTCGGAGGTTTCGGTCGTGCGCCTTGCCTCAAGACCTCTCGACTTGTTTATTTTGTGCTTGGTTGTGTACCAAACACTTGTGTTTTTACTTCTAAGGGCAGGGAATGGCTTGTTGGCCATCCCCACACCTTACCGGCCTTGTTTTCTTGCTACCGGCCAAATATTTTGGTCGACCGGCAATGTTTTTGGTCGGCCGGCCATTTTTGTTGGTCAATCGGCCATATTTTCCAGCAAACCCCTTTCCATCTGCTTTTGGCAGATATTTTATGCCAGTTGTCACAGTTGGCATCCACAATACTCCCCCTCCATACACGTGTATGGAGGGATTTGCTCCCTTATGTTAGCTTCTCCAAGAAGCTTAGGAATTGAATTCCTATAAAATGAGGGCCTCCCCTCCCTTTCCAGAGGTTAAACAACCTGTGATATATGATATATATCACTCTCTCTCTATATCTCCCTCTCTCTCTATATTTGTGTGTGTAATAATGTTCAAAAGGGGTTTTTGTTCTTAGTTTTGCACTAAGACACCTAGTGTTACACTATACTTTGGTTGCTGAGGTTTTAAAGGGTTGATTTCAGAGTTTTGAGTTAGTTTTTGATCAAAAAGGGGTGCTGGAGTTGGTGTTCTTGAAGTGTTCTTCAAGAGTGAGAACTTACCTTTTTATTTTCCATTTTTGCTTAAGGTTTTAGACCTATTTTCATATTGTTTCGAGCTTAGTGTATAACTGATAAAAGTTCTGTATTTTCATGCTTAAGATGTTTCATTAAGGTCACTTTTGTGTTGGGGGTCGTCCACCCCCTCTTAGGCCTTGTGTGGTCTCTTTTTGTGCCTTTCTCTTTGGGTTTTGTAACCCTTTTGTTTTGGCCTTCTCACCACTGAAATCCAGAGGATTTTCAGTGGTAGAGAAGTGGTTTTGAGGTCTTGTATAGGGGAGGGACACCCCTCTCCCCTTGTGACTCATTTGCTTGAATCTAGGGCTCATAAAGGTAGCATGTTTGCATAGCTTTATTTGGCTCCATTTTAGAGGGTATTTGGTGTTAGTCTATCATGTTAGACCTCTGTTTCATGTTGGTTCGATGGCCTATTGTTTGCATCATGCACTTGCTTTGTAATCCCCTCTATTGTCATAACATGTATCATGCATTTAGACCATCATACTTGCATGTTTTAGCTTGACTCCATGAAGATTTTATCCATGTTTTGACATGTTTAAGCTCTGTTTGGTGTTGATTTGGTCATGTTTGCCATGTTTCGTATAGTCACCATGTATCCTAGCTTGTTAGCTTTGAGTGTATGAGTCATGAGCACGCTTTATTTGGGTTATTTTAGTGATTTGGAATCATTTATCATGCTATTTCAGCCCATGCTCCATGCTTGTATGCTTGCATTTACCATCCTTTCAAAGCTTTGAAGAGTTGTTCTTTTGTGCCTTAAAATAGGTCATTGTGCATGCCTTTTTGTTTAAGTCCTTGGGCTGCCATATCAGTGGGTTTTGGGGCTCCTTTTGGCATATCATAGCTCTATTTTTCTTTGAATAATCCATGCCATGTGTGGTTAAGGTAGTTGTAGTGGAGTGCCCTCTTTGTGGCTTTGAATGCCCCTCATTTTTGCACCCATTTCCTAGCATGTTTTGGCCTCATCCCATGTATGTTCTAGCATTATTTTGGCCTGCCATGGGACTGTTTTAGGTCCTTTGGGGCTTGGTTGATATAGCCATGGCTCAAGTCCTTTGGCTAGCTTTGAGCTTTAAGTCCATTAGCATGCCATGCTTGTCTTGTTTAGTTGATTTGGCATCACTCTTAACATGATTTCAAAACTTATTGCATTGTCATATTCTCATGTTTATCACAACTCACTCATATTTGAGGATCGTTCATTGTTGCATAGTTTATGGATCAATGTGTGAACATGCGTGTTTTCCCCTTTCGGCGCCTTAATTCATCACTTTGGCTACTGTTTTGGACGTGGCTGAGGTCTTCCCACTTTAGTCTAAGTCCATCTTCGTATATAGCCGCATGCTTAACATGGTACATCTTGTTACATACTTGTTAGTTTACCTTTTGTCACATGCTTGTGTAGGTTGCTTTGCATTTGGCATGCTCACTACTTTAGCCTTTGTGTGCATGCTTGAGCCATGTTGCACTTGGCATATTTATGTTACATTGCATTACTTTG